TGTGTGTGGTTATAATCTGTCTTGTTTGGGACTGGTTGCTTGCTTTAGGCCTACTCAGTGTTATCTATGCCCGAGGAACTACGTATTAGTGGCTAGAATAGCTCCGTATCTCTCTCCACTAGAGAATTATTAACCTCATTTTTTTTCAGTTGGAGCTACCACAGTTTGTTATCGTTTCGAAAAATGGTACCAAAACAGGAGTCAGTAGGGTATGGGTGGTTGTTGTTGTCAACTCCCATAACAAGTATTGCACGAGAAGAGGTTGTAGCATGACCCTTGATGGAATAGTCTTGTTGGGACAAACATATCTCAAAGATGAATTTGGGAACATGAAAATTGTGTTTATGGTACATTCTGGCAGGGCACCATAGCAACGCTGTACAGAGTTCAAAGGTCAACTGTTACCACGTCCCTGCGAATGAGAGCCATCTTGTTTCATCATGCAACGCTTTCTATATAAATTAACCATACGAATATGCCTTCAGGGCTGCATTCACCCAGCATTGTAATTGAATACATCAGTTAACCAAATTTTCACCAGTTGCAGCAACAATTGGATGAAAAAGCTCAAAGATTAACAGTACAAATGTTGTTTCATATACAGCAGAGCAATTTTTCTAATGAAAGACCTAATTGGATTCGTTTTGGGAGACCCGCAACGCTCGTTTTACCAATCCGTGCAGTGATGATGTTTGACATGTTTTGTGGAATGACGGATAACTTATGGAACTGGCGTGGAATGCCTCTTTACCTCAGCAGGGGAAGAGATTCATTTATACACTAACCGATTCCGATTGTTTAACAAAGATTGATGATTGACTCAAGATTTTTTTTACATCTGTAATTTCCAGCGAATCGAAAGCACTCTAGGCAATGACGCACGTGATTAATGCCGTTAGCTGTATACCAAAATACACTTCAAAGTTCATCACCAAAATATTTACTTGTCCGATAAAGGGTCTGAATACTTTGCAATCCAAAACTGTTGTTGGTCAGTGCAACGGTTTCTTCTTGACCATGTTAAATCTTCGAATGGTGGCGAGAAAATATCCTCAATTATATCATAGGGCTTATATCATGAATGTCTCAAATCACAAGTTAGAAAACGTAGGTCATAAAAATAGTGATGGTTTCGACAACGGTGATTTTTAAAACAACTTAATGAAACGCTAGCAGCTACAGCAACTCTGAGCAACATCATCGGACAATCACATCTATGGTAAATTGTAATTGAAACTTGTGGTTGATGATGCCAACAATGTTTTATTCTGTGTGAAACTTTCCGACTTTCCAAAGTGACATCTTTGGCGCATCATGTTTAGCGTTATGCCCTTAGGTATTACAGCAAATTTATAATTCAATCGACAGTCTATGAATGATTTATGTTTTTCCTCATCGGTTTCTGATTACAGTCCCAAAAGAGCCATTTTTTTTTATTCAATCAGTCAGTACGCACAAGCAAAGCCTATAAATAGTATAACAGATTTGCTGATATATACCCACTGACAGAAATAATCCCTTTGCGAACTTTTCCCTGGTACCGATGCCAGAGGTTGGAACGAATAGAACATTGTACCTTGGTTGGACAAAAAGCCTCAGAGCGTCACGGACCGAGGCTAAACAATCTTAAGAGAGGCAAATAAAGAACCACCGCAGGGCCAAGCCTGAATGAAGTATTCAAAAATTGGACAATGGGTTGGTATGAATAGAAACCCTTCCGTGTACGCGCATGCGATAAAGATTGCTAGTGCAGGTATTGAGTCAGTTGGACAAAGGAAGACCCCACCTGAGTGCACCTAAGCAAGCCGGGCACGCGAGCTCACGTGCCAATGCAGCGCACGGGCCAATCGCAGGTACTCGGAACTCTCTGTAGTAACCACACGAGTGGCTGGAAATAACGCCGACCGGGCCACGCGAACAACAGACTTCCGGAGTTGGGTGAACGCCCCCCGTTTGCATGCGTGCCACATGGGACAGCCGTGAAACGCGCAAGAAAAGAAAATCTATAAGATTTGCTTTACTGATGCGTAATTAATATGTTATTAAGTTTTGGTAATTGGTAATGAATTTGGTAAAAAAAAAATTGGTAACGTTGTTATGTGCGATCAGCCACATTGGTGATGATTTGTAGTGTGTGTGTGTGTATGCTTTGCAATGTAAAACATGAACAACGGTAATTTCGTTTCGTAACATTAAATTGCGTTATCTATCATTGAAAAGCAACTTCGAGGTGGCATGACTGCCACCAATAAATACAGTTATTATTCAATGATAACATGTGAGGGAATGAAGCAGCCCCCCCCAAAAAAAAAAACACCCACAATTCTCTCCTTAAGTAAATCATCACTAGACAGTCCTTTTTTCTTTATTATTTTGAAAGAAATAGCTACAACAGCCTCAAACGCATTCATACATAAGACCTATCACTATAATAAAACTTAACAGCTTCTCTTTTATTTTAAAGAGTGTGTCAAGTCTTTGGGATTCATTTAGGCCTAAAGCTGCAATGCATTTAGAAAGGTTTACTCATTCTTTCCTGTAGAAACTGTTATCCACAAGAATACATAATAGTCACAATATAACCCTCATCAGAAATACTTTTTCCTCTATCAACTGACAAAGTATTTTCTATTTCACTGTAAAAAAAAAAAAAAAAAAAGTTGGGTAAATGGTTTGGTATGTACCAATGTTGGCCACAATACCAACTGCCTGCACTCTCGGGCAAATTCTTCCCAATAGTTATTTAGTTGGTCAATGTTTACCCTAATTAACCAACAACAAAAAGAGGTTAATGCATACCAATGTTGGGCACGTAATACTCACAGCACTCAACACGTACTTTGAGTCGCAACTTTGCTCATGTTAGCCTAAAATGCATCATGCTTAACCATAATATGGCGACTACATAATCCATAGTTTATTTTCAAATTAGAGCTTCTCAAACAGTTTGATCGAAATGTGTCTACTTCTTCTGGAGCTAATCGATCACGGACTGACCTTCAAACGACCTGTTTACATGTCGCTGAGCTACACACGGGACTCGGAAAGAGTGACAATAACCAGTGCAAGGCTGTACCATGGCGTATACGCGGTCCTCTGTGGGATATGCTCGGGCGTTATGCGTAAAACACACGGACTACCCAGACATCACCCAGACAAAGGCAGTGTGCCCGGCCTTGCGAAGCCTAGCACGGCTCGCTGCACCACCGGACTAGTCATAGCGTCTCTTTTTACGCTCCATTGGACTTTTTGACGAAAATACTTCTCGATGTTTTAAAGGTTTTCTTATTAGATTTTTTTTTATATTTTTGTAGGCCAAGGTTTGTTTCTTATTGGCAAACAATTATTATTACTTAGGATAGAAAACGTGCTTCCGATAATTAAAAAAAGGATCGATTCAGTGTCATTGTAATCCAATAGTCGATTGTTAAGTTGAGTTGTATCGAAAGGTCAAACACGAAAATTCTACCAAGAGTTGCGAAATAAGTTTGTCTTTAAATTACTGGCTTGGTAGTCTGAACATAGCCTCAAAATCTCTAGCGACAGATTTATAGACTGTATCCAATTGGCCATGTATTTCCATGGCCAATTTTATGTAGAACCACGGTATGTTCTGTTGGTGTCCAAATAGTGTCACTTAATTTAAGCTTTTCAAACAGACTCGTGTGTTCTCTACTTACACGTCTGCTTACACGTTCTCTACGTACACTTTGAAAGACCTAATTAAATTTACAGTTAACCTAAATCATGGCAGTTTGTCAGTGCCTTCAAACTGTACTACTCGGAGGCTACACTCAACCAAAAAAGAAAGTCCCCCTCCCCTTCCAATACTTTTTTGTCTAACTCAAAAACTACTGAGCACCTCTCGCTCAAATAACGACTAATCAGTACGGAAATTCCTTAGCAATCCAGCCATACTCTCTATTTAGCCCAAAACAGTGATAATGTGTACGAATGTATGTCATTGATGACAAATAGTACCGAAAACAGTTGCACTTTTGTATGCGCAAGTTGTGGTTCACACTCAACTTGCACGCATACAAAAAAAACCTTTTTTTCGGTACCATTTGTCATAAATTGCATAATTGTGTACACATTATCACTGTTTTGGGCCAAACAAAGAGTGTGACTGGATTACAAAGGAGTTTCTGTACTGATCAGTCGTAGTTTGAGCGAGATGTGCCCAGTAGTATTGAGGGGGCTTTTCTTTTTTGGTTGAGTGTAATTTCACGTGTGTCAGAATTCGCTTAGCATGTATGTGTGTCAAACTATCGGCTAGGCTATGTGATGTGTACAAAATACCTGCTAATAGCCAAAATGTCTGCTATGTTCTGCCTCACCCGACCATTTTCTATAAGCAAAAATATGGATTTCTCAGCATTTCATGTTCGAACTTCACGGATTGTGTTTTTGAACGCGCAGTACCGTTATACCTTAAACTGTCTTGCTCGGACTGAAGTTGGGGGCGCAGTACAACAATGTCTGTCCCAGATTTTGGGATCTGTGATAGTTATTGCCTTCGGGACAATGTTTCCCTTTATGACAAGTAATGTAGATGGGCTAAGTGGAAAAAAACTGAAATCTGCTTGACTGAAATATGTTTGAAAGAGAATATTAATGACAATTCGAAAAACCCACGTGATTCTTAACATTTCACACACAAAAATCCATTAAAAGTTTTTGTATTGGTCGGGCGGATGTAAAAAAAAAAGAAAAGAAAATCTTTCCGAAATATGTTTCTCTTGAACTACACCCGTTACATAACATCAGCATTTTCAAAAGATACAGTCTCATAATTTCATCATTAATTCCAGTTCGATCCATGCTTCAACCCCTGTGAAATCAACTCAGCATCGTATGCGATGTAGTTGATTCATCTCATCAACTTAACAATAAAGTCATTTCCCGAAAGCACCCACCCTTTCATTGTCAATCTATCCAAAAAGAGGGACGGCAGGGGAGAAACAACAATGATGTTACAAGAGAAAGACAGCCACACAATGAGTACGTAAACTTGCTATTTATTCTGTTGTTATTAAAACTCTCTTGGAAATTATCGTAGAAAACAAGAATTATATTTACACGACCTTCCTCGGGCCAAACAATTCTTCCGTAAAAAAACAAAATGTACAATGGATAGGTAGCAAAAGGTTCTGACTCAGCCAGCCAAGCTGGGCTCGTCAGACACGGGTACAAAAATAAACTTTCAGTTTTCCAATTCGTCAATCGCGTTAACAACGCAAACATAACATACTTTTTAACCACATGGCGCACTTTCTTGTCGACTGATCATTATAGCAGTTGTCTAACCACAATGGACATTTTCTGGTTTCGCAATAAGTCATTCACAGCATTCCTGTCATTCATACCTATGTCTCGTTTTGCTTTTAAAGGTAATGTACAACATTTGCAAACATTACAAAAAAAGCTACCAAATTATTATGAAATAGGCCTACCTTATTTGACTGTAATGTGAATAATAGTTTCAAGCATCCTGTGAAATCATGGCACCTGGTGTGCTGTCATTTTAAGAAAAGTGGAAGCTTGTGTTGCATCACTTTCCAACGATGGTTGGCCCATCGTTGAAAAAAAATGACTCTTTTCAAATACTGCCTCCAATTCATCAAATTTAGTTAGATCACATTTTGTTTGCAACCGGTTACACATCCGTGAACGGGTGCAAGCCAGCTAGTCTGGTTCCCTGACCTGATGTCTATAAATTGCTCTGTTTCGTCTGAAGTAGGGTCAGGGAATCAGACTACAAGAACAGCATTTTTTCTTCGTTTTGCCAGCATCCATGAATACAAAACTTTAAGCAGGTTAGTGTAATAATATTTGCTATAAAATACTAAAAACCAAATCCGTCCATTTCTGAAAATTACAGCAAAAGCAAATGTTGTATATTAACTTTAAATTTGTCACATACATTATTGTTATTTAAGTCACAAAATGAATACACAAGTATCGCAAGCGACGACAACATCATTTGACATGAAGTCATTGACAAAATTCTCTCTCAAATGAATACCCAAACTAAAAAAAAGCAATTTAGAATTAGAATTAGAATTTCCCCAAGCCTGAATACAGTTTCGTATATTGTCAAATGCAAATACTAAAATGAATCGCAGCATACATTATATAATTTGGGGGTAGCACACTAAATGGTAGAGCACCGAGTTCTAAAGAGTTGCCTTTTTACCAAGTTTAAGTAGGAATCGTCTCTTTTTAGTTAATTTATTTCTTTTTGAAAGAAATGTGAACAATAAAAACATCAAACTCCTATAATGTGAACATATTGTAGAATCGGCAGTTATTGTAGAATTCACAAATGAAAATGTCTCAATCAAAAATGAAATCTTGCTAATTCTTGTGAATTCCTACTGAAAAATTATGAATATATTATGTAATATAGAAAAATATTTCATGTAAAGCAATTTTTTTAACAAAAAAATGCAAATGCTCAATACGATTACTCTACAACCGACTAAAATGCTGATACAGCGGCTAACGCGACCATGAATTTCTCCGAGCGTGGTCAAATCAGAAACTTTTTTTGATTTCCGATACAAATAAAACAATACAATTATGACTTTTCTTTTACAAGTATGAAGCTCTCTCTGTACAAAATAATATTTATACAACTTTTATGATATTTACAGATATTGGAAGGCACGCAAAGAACGCAAGATAAGTAACAGGCACTTTATAAATTATCCCATTTTTTTTACAAGAAGTAGAATTAACTAATCGAGCAGACGTAATAGTTAACAATTTGAGATTGTGTGGAATTTGAATCATTTTAGTAAACTCGTCAAACAACGCTAAATTATGTAAGAAAGTTTGTCCAAATGTTTGGTCCCTTGATTTTGCAATTCTACATTCTTGAAAACTATAATTACAGAAAAAGTTCGGCAGAAACGAGAGACACCGACGAAGGAGCTGAAGAAAGCAATGCTAAAGAAGTCCCTTTGGAAGATCTTACTTTTAAAAATTGAGCCTATCTTTTCTAGAAGAAGTGGCCCGCTGAATACATGTCAATATCTGAAGCTCCGTCCGCCGTGCCTGCCCGTTGATACCAGCACAATCATGAGCGGTGCATTGCACCGGGCTGGCCCCGTGATTCACTCCACGCGCTCCCGGTGGATTTTTCTTTGTTCGTAGCGGCCGTTTCCCGTACGGTGCAAGGATTTTGTTCTTTTTAGGGGTTCGGTTGGCGTGTGTCCTCGACGGTCGCCCCCTTTACTCGGTCCCCCCTTTTTGATTGGCAGACCGGTGCGCCTGACGCAGACACGTCGAGGGATGTCATTGGTCACATCTCCAGCCGGCCACGCCCTCTCCTGAAGAAAGTCAAAGAAAGAAAAAAAGTCTGGGTGAGTCAACGAGAAACTTGATTGGCAGAAATTGGCGGGCAAGAGCCCGTGCTTTATGAGTGGAAACTCACCGTCCAAAAAATGGACGTAGTGAGGAACAAAGACACATGCACCCATTCGGCATTATAACATCCTATAAATTTATGGACATACACTGAAACTTTCAACAGTCTCCCAAACAAATGTTGTAAAAAAAAAAGTAAAATGCAATTAAAGACAGTATTTAGAATTGCATCACAAAAAAAGATTGATGGAAAACCAACAAACTAATTCCTCTCACCTTTCAAAATCCTTTTTTTTTTCCAAACAAAAGCGTTTGTGATTTTAGCCTTTTTTTTACTATCAGAAGCCATTTTAGTGTGGAAAAGTGTTGAAACAGTAAATGTGTTGGTTCGGTGAAAATGTGTCATTGCAGAATTAAAATCGTTTGCATGCAAACCAAATTCAAAGTGATAATAATTAAAATCAATTCCAAACTACTTTTAATCAATAGTTTCAAAACATATTATGGATCAAAACAGAGGCTGTTTTTTTTTTGGTGTAACAGTTCAACAGAAAAGGTGAAAGCAATGGAATTCTCTCAACTAAAGGATAAACGGCCTAAACTCCACGTGAAGTTTCAAATAAATAAAAACTCCATGCATTCCATTTACATTTCAAAAACTTCAAGAAAAGTTCACCCTGTTTTCAAATTTTTACTTATCCATTTGCAAAACCTGCTTGTGAAAAAGTTTTCACGAGTTTGAAAAACCGTTTCAGCAGGAAACGGCACCAAGTGCGGCCCGTAAAATGTGCTTTTATGACCCGTCGTGGCAACCAACCGCACACGGTGGGCTAGGGGCCAGTTGAGAAAAAGGTATGAATTTTTGATTTTTAATAACTACCGGCTACATTGAAGGCACGTGGATCTCCACCCGTTTAATTAAGGGGTGTTAACCGCTGCTGTAAACATGACCACGCGTTATTAAGACAGTTACAGGAATCGGGTGTTTGTCAGAGGGGTAATAAATTTGCACACACGCGTGCCGTTTGTTTTTACGGGTTGCATCACATGGCACTGATTCTTACCCAGATTATGTCGGCTTTGTCGCGGTAAGCCTGCGGTGGCGGCGCCGTGCAATGATCATCAAGTAAAGACTCTTAAATCATTAATGTACACACATTGTTGCACACTGTGAAAGCAAATTTAATTAGGTATCATCGATCTGTTCGCTGAATAGAGAAAAGTCTTCATGAGCACCCCATTAGAAGGAAGAACTCAAGTTTCGATCAGAGTGTTGTCACTGTTAAATTTTGATTTCGACGAACTTTTACAGTGTATTTTTCAGGAAAACAGATTGTCGTGAATGAGGTGGAGTTTAATTACCGTAAAATATGAAATAAATAACACAAAAACAATGGTTTAATTTCCCAAACAAGTGGATAATTCATTCCTACCCCCATGGATAATTGAAGGGAACAAAATAATTCTTACATTTTCGTTTCGTTACCTGTTGTTTAAAAAAAAAAGGGTAATCTTGCACGAATTCTTTACATATGAAAACTTACCTTTATAAACATTTACATCAGGGCGTTGTTCAGCAAGATCAAGCCGTCGTAAACCAGTCTGTGAAATTGACAAGTTCCTCCTCCTCCGGCGTGAGCACCTCACTTCCCGAGGAATCCGGGGAATAGCTGGGTGACGGAGAACTACTCGTCAGCGAGCAGGTCGGCGAGAGCGAGCCGTTGAAGACGGCGTTGACGGCGTCAGTCTCGTCCAAGAGTTCCTGCAGCTGCTTGATATAGTCCACGGCAGAGCGGAGCGTCTCCACTTTGCTCATCTTCTTATTGGCCGCGCCGTTTGGCAGCTGCTGACGGAGACTGGCGAATCCCAGGTTGACCAGCTTGACTCGGTTCCTCTCCCTCTCGTTGCGGCGAGCCACGGCCACCGGTGGAGTTTGCTGCAAATAGTTGAAGTGAATTCGCCGCTTGCATCGCACGAGCTCCGGCTGGGACGGGTCTGACCGGTCTAGCCGCCTCTTTGTGACTCGCTTGGGGAGCGTCGAGTTGACTTCGCTAACCAGCTGCTGTACCGCCTGCTGAAGAATTTTCTGCGAGTTTTCCATGCTGTTCCGATTTTTTGGGCGTCCAAATGTTTTCGGAGGAGTTTTCTCAAAAACTGATCAAATTTCACCCAAAACAAATCAGACTCGCGATAAAGTTTTTGGAAAAAGTTGGTAAGAGGCTGAGTCAGGTCTACTAACGGTTGTACGGGAGTCAGTTTGGCCCACGAGGGGTAACTCAGTGCCTATATAGTTTGATGTCGATCCCCACCGAAATAAGTCCCACCCACATGTACCCCTTCATTGAAAACCCTGCACCCCTCTACGATACGGCTCGTGCGGTCCTGAATAGAACACGAAGCTCATTAAAGTCTTGTAGCGTCCTGTCGCGTGAGTTCATTTGCATATGAATGGGCAATGGGCCAGGGGGATTACTCCTGGACCGATCACAAAAGGATGTTTATCTAAATTCGGTGACCGCCAAAGTTCCCCAAAAGTGTCACTCACGGGAAGCTCACGTGGGCACCGGAATATCACCGCTGATTGAACAGAAAACTAAGAACAACAAACTCTGCAAAGGTAAGGGTACCCTGAAGCACTCGTATTCACCCATAATAACTCAGGTCGCGTGGGCTCAAGGATTTCATCCAATCTTGGGTACAATAGACACCATTATAGCCTGAGGCACTCTTCACCTTTTTGGGTCCACCTTTAGAGTGTATTTATCCACCGTTAACCCAGCGGTACGTGTACTTAATTAGCCACAGCGCACACGAGGCTAGTCTTTCCATGTACATGTATAGGTTGCCTTTGTGGGATCATAGACATGCTTGTTTGCAACCATCAATTATTCCCAGTTTCAGGGAGTGTGCCAATTCATCTTCTGGGTTCTCCATATCACGGAGCTTTAGTCCCACCTTCCCTGTACCTTCAACTTTAGATGCATCCGTATTCCGGATACGACGGAGTCAAAATAGTGTCGTATTCATTTGCTCTCACAATTACTCAATCGTGAAATATATACCGGCAAGATTCACGGCAAATCTAGGATGTTCAACCACCTATTACACAAACAAGGCGAACAAACATCTTGAGTATAAAAAGTAGTCATATTTGCCAAGAAAACTCTTTCCGACAAATTTTTTTTTTAAATAGTTGGATTTCCCTAAATAGAAAGTTTGATCGTGATTTTCTTTCTATAAATATAATCTGAAAATTGAAAGATCTTTTGTCAATTTCACGGCCCAGACTTTACTCGCGTACAGGTGAGCGGTGACTGGTTAGGCTCCGCCCTTTATTGATTCAATCACAATCGGTCGCGTGTGCGTGAAACTCTACCGACCAATCACAGTGCTCCACCTAGGTGACCTCGCTTACCGATTACAAAGGGCTTGCACGTGCGGAAGCTTTTTGTCTGAATAGTTTGGGCCCCGAACAATAAAAAGAAAAGAGAAAGAAAAAAGGAATAGAAGAAGAAAAAAAAAGATTATTGCGATAAGCCAGGTAGCGAGCCCGTGGCGGATGGCGTCACCGGCTCGTGCACAAGCGGCCTTGTAGATAACTTTGTTTGCTCAAGAAAAATACCTTGACCCCTTTTTTTTGGCGAGCCAGTTTTCAGAGACCAAATCTTTTGCCTGTTTATCATCCTCAACCGTCCATGGCTTGAGGTATTTCTGTGTACGTTTGGTAATGCAACGTGCTGTGTTAGTGATGACAGTCGTTCATGGAAATTTTAGTTTGACAAAAAAATATTCGAGATTGGTAGATTGACATACCTGTTGGGCTTGTCGTTTTATGAGATAGCATGTTTGCCAGGACAAATACATGAAACGTGTTTTCGTTAAGCACGGAATCGGAGCATTCATAACAGTGCGTACAAAGTTGGTCTGAATGTGGCAACTGTCTTCGCCAGGTCGTGATGTCCGATGCAACTGATGCAGCATCTCGCTTAGCAGCATTGGCATGCCGTGCAGCTAATGCCTCACACCACCAAAATGGTGCATAAGGAAAATAACCACCAGAATTTATCAATGACCACTAAAATCATGATAGGCCTAATGCTTCATTTGTCTTCTGAAAAGAGTCGTATGTCCTGTTTACAATAGAAATTGGTCTTGTATATCGTATTAAAAAAATCATGGCTGTTTTAAGGCATACCACGTCAATAAACTCCAATCAAGTTTCCCCATGACACGTAAATCAAAAGCCAACAACGCGTAGTTCTTAAACCGTGAACCGTGAACTATTAATTGCTCTCTGAAAATCATTCTAGCGGTGAAGCAGTGTAGACACCCACAATCCGCAGCGCTTTTCAAGTGTTTACAGCTTGGTTGACAGCTAACCTTTTAAATCGAATTATTGGCAAAATGCCGAGTGCATGACGAAAGCACTTTTTTTGATCACGCATTCCTTGGTATCTGACTCCCTGCGTTGACTAAATAGCGCCCTCAATAATGTTTATACTCATCATTAGACTTCATCCAAGTCTGTACAGAGGACAGATTTTCCGCCGTAAGGTGAACGCGAACGATTTGAAACCTAATATATGATTACTACATGGGCGTAGGCATGTTTAAAACCTCGTTCTCGAGTGACCTGCAAACAGTGTTGGCGATTACGAACGACCAAGTGCGTGTGGCCATGCCGCGCATTAAAGATGGCAGCCGCCCAAAACGCTGAATAAAAAGAAGGGGAAAGCAAGGATTCTATGAAAGAATTTATATCCACGAACAGCTATACAAATCCCACCCTACGATCCGTACAATATTTTTATCATTACAGCTCCTGCACTGAATGAGTGTTTTCAATTGTATGCAAAAAAATTAAGACAAGTTTGCGGTAAGTCCGCCATCTTTGCTCTTGATGAGCTTCATCTACTCCCCAATAAGTGGGGAGTGAGAAACCACTTCGCGAACGAACGTCGTTCGCGTGTTGGTTCTTGTCATTCGAAACCATGTTCTCGTGTTCATTCAACACCAGAACGGTGTTTCGAATACGCCGCATTCGTACATTTATTTACACCGGTAGACACAAATCACTTTTGTTTCATCCCAAAATACTGGATGCGCAAACAGCTTGTTATTAGATATAAAGACTAGTGTTGTACTCGTGCTCCTGAAAATGTACTTGTACTCGTACTCGTAAGAAAAAAATGACTGTGCTTGGTCTCGTACTCGCGAAAAAGTACTCGTACTCGTTATCTTGCAGATGATCTCCCGCAACAATTACACATTTATTTACAATAATTAACATGAGTTAATTTTCACCACTGCAAATGGTATATCGTTATAGCGCCCTCACGAAACCTACCGGTCGTTCAAAGTTAGTATTACTCTGAAATACATGTATACATTTAAGCACAACATAAAATAAATTGGTGAGCTTTTTCAGACAAAGCACAAAATGATCACTTCGTTTTGTATTGGTTTGTTTCATTTCTTCTTTTGGATATGTTATTTTTTCCAAGCTTCGGTTCGCAAGGAACCAGATTGCAAGGGAAAAGCAACATGTTATATGATCACCACTAGGACAATGGCTGCTTGTTCAAATATCACAAACGATAATACCAACAGTTCTAATCCCCGCCTATCAATGTAACATGTAAGGATTACATAACTCAATCGGGGAGATTGTCCAATGAATCCGAAATTAATTTCCCTGAGTGTAGACACATACATAGTGGCTACTTATGATTAGAGAGGAAAACATTACCCTAACCCCTTTCATTGTTTTAGTTAACCTTAGTTAATTCAAGAAACACTTTGAATGTTTGAATATTTATATTTATTTATATAGTATCTACCATCAATATCCACGCTCCAAGCCTAGGCGTTCAATGGGGAGTGCGCCCTCTCTTGACTGTATTAAAAGAAGGGGATAGTGGGCGCCCTACAAACCCATAATAAGTTTTATTCCTCCATGGTTGAATCAAAGTACCTTATTTATTCTGAAAATGGTGTTTTAAACGCTCATGGATGTTAAGGAATTATAAAAAAAAAAACACTGACATGGTGTTAATTTTGGAAAACGTGAATTTCCTCCTTGAAGCATTTTGCAAGGTATGACAAATATTTAACCAAAATATGATATCCTTGAGAAGGAAACCCTTTATTTTCATTGATGTCCTTTTAAAACGATTTTGCCTGAGAAAAAAAACCAACGATTATTGCTGTAACAGCCTTTGTTTTCATGGTATATTTCGTGTTCCACGAGAGGTTATTCAATTAAAAACCAGCAAAGTACAACAATCTTATAAAATGTAAGCACTTCAATAATTGACCAGATTTTGTTTAACCTGAGATAGGCCTCATCGAACTCATCATGTGACGTATTAAACGTGTGCTGCATTAATTGTCACATTTTTGTTCGAGTCGATGGAATGAGAATACAAGTGTACAAATTACCAACAGTAGACTACAAATGCACATAACATTGACAGACTTCTAGACTGTGACTGCAATAGTGATTGGGCATTGGTGGATTCAGGAGAGCCCTTGATTTTGCTTGATTGTTGAAAATGTCCACCGTTGCGTTCAGCTACATATCTTATCTTGAGACGCTCTGCTTAATTAAAAAAGACGTTCCCTTACGTTTTATCTTTCGATCCGCAATCAAAGGAATTAAAATGTCTGATTTCAAATACTGAAGTTCTTGAAAAAAACACCTGGCAATATATTTCATTTGGTCCTAATATTTTGATACTATAATTTTCAGCAAGGTAGTTTTGGCAATGTGTTTATTCATTATTTAGTAAACTGTGGTCTTGTGATCATTTTCATTTCTTCCTAACCGCCACCTTGGCAGCATTCCTCCATCTTTGAACCACCGGGTTCGTAGACGGCGCACCAAACATCTCCAACCTTCTCCGCTCCTGTTTGTCTCTGCGTCTTTGCTCCTCCAATATCGAGATAAACAATCGGACCTTTGACATGACCCTCTTTTGCCTGTCCTCATCGATGACCTTCAGGTGGTTGACCTCCTGCTGCTGTTGCATCCGGTCTAGCTCACGCTCTCGTGAGATATGTGAAGCCGCTAGATGCTTGTGGAGTTGCTGGACATCGTCCTCCAGCACAGGAGGTTTGTCTAAGTCTAAATCCTGCCGCCAGCTTTTGGCTATCTTGGACCCGACGCTAGCCTCTGGCTTTGGGGTCGAGGACGCCACGACGTCGTTCCCCGAATCTGACTCATCGTCGTTGATCGTCAGGTTGGCTTTAATGCTTTTCTTCGTCATTGCCGACTGCTGTACGGAGTGGACTTTCAACCGCGTGCCCAGAGTCGACCGCTTTTGGACAGTCAAATGCTTTTTGGACATCATGACTTTCCCCATGGTTCGGAAACTGAACCGTCGTGGGGATCTCTTGGCTGCAGACAGTTTACTTTCATCTTCCTCCTGAGTGATGGAATCTGCATCCAGAGGAGACTTGCGTCGAGACCGACCACCGCCCATAAGACTAACAATGGACGCCTTGAGCAAGCGATCACGGCGCTTCTTCATGGCAGCATCTTCCACAGTTTGCTTAGGTTTCCTTCGGACTTCGGGAATGACGTTCGGCGTTGGACTGGGCGGTGTCCCTGGCTGAACTGCTCTGCTCATCAGTAAGGACAACAGACCGAGAGAGGGCGCACTTTGTGTCTGATCAGACGTGTCTTGGTCATCAGTTCCTCCATCGTCTGTCTTATTTTTCTGCCCAAGAAAAGGCTTGCTGTTACTGCCAGCATGTTTGTGTATTTCCCCGTTTTCCATAATCGTTACGCGTTTTTCGTTCTCGTTCCCATTTGTTTTAATCTTCAAGGCTGATTTTAACCATCCCGTCTTAGCCGAATCAGAGGCTGGCGAAAAAGCAGCACTCGCGACTGGACCATCACTCACAGGTGTGGCTTTTAAAGCATACCGCAAAGATTTTGGTTTT